AGGAGTAGCAGTAGCAGTAGCATTAGCAGTAGCAGTAGCAGTAGCAGTAGCAGTAGCAGTAGCAGTAGCAGTAGCAGTAGCAATAGCAGTAGTAGTAGTAGTTGCGCAATTATTTTTCCCTCTTTGTGGACAGCCGTTGTCGTTGACTGCAATGATTTGTTCATTTAGGCTGTACCATTTCCGATAAAACTTGTCCATTCGTGTTTCGTGTATCTACTAAGTTTAGTTAACTAGGGTTATCAGACAGTTTCTTAATTGTCCAAGCCATTGATCTTTCATTTTACCAAAGGCGCGTGGTTCATATATCTTTCTTTTATTTACAGTCTCGTACACCTCATGCTCTTCATACCCTCCGCATCAAGTAGATAGCACAGTAAGTTTTGCTAACACATCCGTTGGATAGTGTGATGCGCCTTTTGAACAACTGAGCTCTGATTAATTTACAATGAACAGACGATGATCGTGTAATATTCTATTCAATAGCGTGTTGTAAAAATACTGTTGAAATTCTCGCGCAGTCATTGATCTAGGGCTATTTTTATTATAAAAAATAGATTCCTCTCTTCAATATTAGATCATAGATGACGTCAAAATGTGTGAGAACAAAACAGCGGCAGAGGCGTAGCCGAGGCCCCTCCGAAAATAACAAAATTTTAGACCAGCATTCGGCTTTTATTCAAGTTAAAAAAGAATATTTCTGAACACAATGAAAGAAAACGCCAAGGACAGAACAACGATCGACAAAATGGTTCTTTCAGGGAACTATATTCTACGTTGAGGATATCCGATACAATTATTTGGTAGGCTACCTCGGATCTTCGGATACTCAGACTATGAGAGACATGAGAGGATGTGCAAACTTCTGTAAGTTTCTTTATGCAGAGAAGTGAGATTGATCGTTAACATGAAGTGAAAAGAAGTACACAAATTCACTTGTCCGAAGATATCGAAACGGTTACTAGGCGGGCCGACATCTCGCTTCGAAGCGTCCACATTTACATGGATCCCTGTTGAACCGCTGAACAGATCGTGGGTTACATCTGTAGGCACAACTTCCATATTCATGGGCGTTTACGATTTGTCTTCTGGATTGTTTCTGACCACATGCCTTGAGGCTATTAGATCTTTCCGAGTAATAAACAAATGCATCAAATAAGGAAGATGGAGTCAGACGTGGGTTGTTCTTTGGAACTTCCGCCGAATGCAGTATTTAGGGGATTGAGATCTATCTATTGGTGAAGGAAAACGTAGCGATAATAACCATGTCGTCTTCCGAAGCAGCGAATGCTGCAAGTAGCCACCAGGAGCAGAGGGAGCAGAAGGTTCTTGATGTCATGTTTCTCTGCGACGAATGGAAATCTTCGAAGGGTGGATTATCGACTTTCAATCGAGAATTTGCCATTAATTTGGCAGAAGTGACGACTGGTAGCATGAAAATCCACTGCTATGTCTCTAATAGCGATGATCAGGACAGAGAAGATGCTGAACAACATGGTGTCAATTTAATCACAGCTCGAAGTGTTCCTGGTTCAGCCGACCCCCTCGAGTGCTTGAAGTTTCCACCCTCAAAGCTCCCAAAGCCACATCTGGTAATAGGCCATGGAAGAAAGCTGGGTAGTCCTGCTTATTCCCTTGTACAGATTACAAAGTGTAAATGGATCCAATTTGTTCACGTCTATTGTGAGGACCTTGGGAAATATAAAGAATCTGCTACGGCTGCAGAAGATACAATCGAAGAGAACGAGGAGAAGCACAAGATGGAAGTTGAGTTATGTAAAGCAGCGGATGCAGTTGTCGCCGTTGGCTCCCGTCTACAACAGAAGTACAGCAGACGTCTCCTTAATGTTGAAGTGAAGATTATCACTCCTGGGATTTTTGGAAAGTTTTCCAGTGAATCAAAGTTGGCTGTAGACAGATCGGTAGTAAAGAATTTCAACGTGTCTATGTTTGGCCGAGCTGCCTTCGAGGATCTTTCCCTGAAAGGCTATGATTTAATTGCAAATGCCATTGGTTCTCTTGGTAAGAACTTTGAGTTGACATTTGTCGGCTCATCTCCCGGTGAACAACGAAAAGTCGAGCAATGGTTTCTTGACAACACGTGCATCAACCGCAACCAACTAACCATCCGTCGATATTGCAGTGAACAAGAGGAACTCAAGGTGATGTTTTATCAGTCAGATTTGGTTGCTCTGCCATCCCGTACCGAAGGATTTGGGCTTGTTGCCCTTGAGGCCATTTCTGCTGGTGTTCCAGTACTCGTTTCTGATGAATCTGGCATAGCTGAGGCTTTGCAAAAAGTAGAGGGTGGAAACACTGTCATTGTTGGATCAGGTGAAGATAAAGATGAATGGGCACGAAGGATCAGAGAAATGTATGAAGAAAGCGCAGAAGAGAGAGAAGCCAATGCTGTGAAGCTTCGCGAGAACTACAGGAAAGTTTACTCTTGGAAAGCAGAATGTGAGAGGTTTAAAGGGCTGATTGGAAATGTTGTGAAAACTGCAAATGGTGAGCCCACTTCTTTTAATTTTTCTTTTTTTTCAGTAAATTTGCTGAAATGTCGTGCTACATGTACAAGCTAAACCTTATGTGTAGAATGAGCCACATAAGATAAACTGAATACTGGTACATGGAGAAAAGCATACGAACAAGTAAAGTGCTCCTGTATGTCCGGAGTTGTTACATTTATCTTGACTTGTGGTTGTACCACAAGTGAATTGTCTTCTTGAATTTTTTTTATATTAAATAGAGGGGTATGTATCTTGCACTAATCAGATTGCCACTTAAGAGTATGTATCTCACACCACTCAGAGTGCTGCATGAGGGTATTTATCTTGCACCAATCAGATTGCTGCATAAGGATATTTGTCACATAAACTGCTGTGTTATGCAAGGATTTTTGGCCCTGAGAAAAGCCGTAACAACACGTGAAAAAATATTGTATTTTTTCACATGTGTTGATATAGCCAATCAGCTGCACGTCACTTACCTTTGGCACCACTTGGTCAGGTTGATGAATGAACAGCAAAGCCTTCATGACTCTCAATACAAGTTGTTTGTCTGAGTTTTCTCGAATTATGGCGGCTAAAACACTTAAAAAATCCTTATCGCTGGCAGACAATGAGGTTCAAAGTTTCCTAGAAAGGGAAGGAAACCAATATACTAAAGAAAAACCAAAAGTTGCATATTCAGTGGCTTTGGTGTTAGCATTTCTCTCGTCTGAGAATGAAAATTGGCAACTGGAAGATATGCCATTAGCTAATTTTAGCTGTTTACCTGAAAGACTTCTTCTGTCAGTAAGGACAGCATTCAAAGTGCAATCAGAACATACCCGATAATAGCACTACATGAACATTGGGTAATTTTTCATGTTCTAGAATTGTACTCCATCAATCAAATTCCATTTTACCTCATTAGACTTTGCTCCATGACATGTCATTTCCCTGTAAAAAACGTGCATTTTGTCATGTATTCAACTGCATTTTCTGACACCGCTAAAAGAAATTCACACAGAACAAAATGGGATCGATAGTGAACTTTCCTTGCAATTCACCCATGTTTTGAATTTGTCTACAAACAAAATTTGCTTTTAGCTACCTTGGACTTAACCCAATGTCAATTCATTGTAAACAACCTTCGTTTTATCATGTAATTCACACACAGAGGGCACAGTCTAGATAGGCAACAACCAATCAAGGAGCCCTGTTTGAATTATTATCCTTTTCTCTTGTTCAATGTATCTTCACTTAATCAAGATTGTAATTATATATCTTTTGGCCAGGGTCCATTGGAGACACAACAGAACTTCAGTGTGCTTTTTGTATTAAAATTAGATGAAATCCTATTTTTGGGACAACTAACTGTAGATGAGTAATTTTGATTTTCTCTCCGCAAGAGGAACGGCAGTGAGCATGGTCTCTTTGGAAACCATTATTTGGTCTCTTCGCCCAACATGCTCTCTCTCAAATGGGGAATAGGCAGTGTTGTGTGAGGAGACCAAGCAACAGCTGCAAAGGAGACAACAGTTAGCGTGGCACTGATGCATTTTATTTTTGCTCAGAAGTATTTGGACAATAGAGAAAATAGGAATGATAGAATGAGATAAAGATGCAAAAGAAACTGAAACAGAAGCCATACATACTGTATGTGGTAATCATCTTCATCATAATGTTGTTGGTATCCGTTCATTGGTAACAAGCTCTCTGTTTGCTTTTGCCTCAATATAATGTTCTCACATTTTAATGGTTAAATAGGTAAGAGGTGAAAAAACCTTGCTATAGTAAGATTAAATTTGACTGTTACAATTTAACAGGTGATAAGTTGAATGTTAAGGTTGCAGTGGATGACTTGAAACCTGAAGAACAGAATATGCAGACTGGCATGTTGGCAACAGAGTCTGCCAGATGTCAAGGGGTTCAGCAGCCTAGGGCATCTGCTACATCGACTGCATCTGGAAGTGTGTCCTATTCACAGAAAGAGGATCTCAATGCCCTTGAAAAGAAAATCTTTCTATTAATTGTGCAAAATTATCTCCAGACCACACCACCACAGTCTCCTGAAGAGCACAGTAGGTTCATGGAATACACACAAAAAATGAGGCTCATTATTACTGGTGTAGCTGTAGGAAGTTTGGTGATAACAATGAAGTGTGAATCTGTAATGATATTGGAGGAGTTGTGGACAGATTACTCATCTGGTCATCTTGGTGAAGTGGTTCAGAATTGTTTTGTCACTGAAAAGATCTTGAAGGAACTGAACCTGGCTGAGCTGAGGCTGAAGACAACAATAGACATAGAAGAGTACAATGCATGCAAAATGTTCTTTGAGAAAGATGCTCTTAGAGGTTGGTAGAAAGAATGTAACAAGGCCTGGTCCTATCATAAAATATTTGTAAAGAGTTTTGAATGAAATCCATCAGTCTTTCAACACATGGAGTATGGTAGGGTACATGTCATGAAGGGATGGGTGCAGTTTTTGATCAAGATTGATGGAACTTGTCTTGACCATGAATAAACTTATGCTGACCACAATATGTAAACCATGCCAGTGCAAGATGTAATTTGTTTGTAAGACATTTCATTTGATGTTTGTTCTTCTCAAACATCTCCAGTAACCTGTTATCTTTTCTATTGAGACATGTGGCTTGATATTTTCCTCTCTATAGGGTTGTATTTTTCTTTTCTTAATTTATAAGATTACATATATTTAATAATAAAAGATTAATTGGCAAGCTTTATGTTGGAGGGGCTATGAAAAAAAATTTGATTAGTTTTTGTATGTTGGGTGTTTTTAAAAATAGTTTGAGGTGTCTTTATGTTTTAAAATGTGTGTCTTCTTGTAAATCTGATTTTTAGGTGCTTTATCCTCTGAATTCCACTCCACAAGTTCAACCAGTGAAAGTCCACAAAAAAAAGAACAATGGGAAAAAAGTGAACAGAAGACAAAGATTATGGAGACAGTGAAATTGGAAGGTGAAAAAGAAATTAAAAACTTGTATTAATTTATAATGGAAAGTTTTTGTGAACAGTAATAATGATTATGTGATAAATCTTTGGCTCCAGATATAAATAAAGTAAAACAAGCTGAAATAAAAATTGGCAAGATTTTAGTTGGAGGAGCTATAAAAGAAAATGTTACCTGTATTTGTGTGTGGGTTTTTATAAAAATGATTTGAGGTGTGTTGTATGGTTTTGAATGTCAGTATTTAGTGGTTGCCTCATTATTTGTTTTCTTTTAAATCTGATTTTAGGTGCCTCATCTTCTGAATTCCACTCCATAAGTTCAACCAGTGAAAGTCCACAAAATCAAGAAGAGCTGAAAAAATGGAAACAGAAGACAAAGATTGTTGAGACAGAGAAACAAAAAGGTGAAAACAAAATTAAGAGATGTATTAAGTTATTGTGGAGAGTGATTGTGAACAGTAATAACAATTTATTATTTGAAAAAACTTTGAAGAATTATCTCAATGCAATTTTGGCATTTATTATTTTAAAGTGTACAATTTAGGGGAAACAACATACAGGGTATCTGATGAGAGGCTGTGAATGCTAATCCCTCCCTGTACTTTTTGCTCATAGGTACTTCACCCCTCACTGTAGTACCCATTACTGGTCACGGAAAAGAACTTATAGAGAAAGAGCAAAAAAGGAAAGGTGAACAGGAAGCTCAGTTTGAATTAATTTCTAAAGTGAATATGTTCAGTGTGTTTAGCTATCATGTCAAGTGTAAAGAACTGTGCTTTTGGGATTAAACATTTAAGGTTACCAGGGTCTGTAGGGTAAAACTAAAATGACAATTATTTGAAATACTTTCAGTTCTCATCAAAAAATTAATTCCAAAGAAATTAAAACCCAATGAAGTTTTCGCGAAGGGAATGTTAAGATGGTAGTGGCTAGGGATGGTGAAACAGTATTAATTATAATAAAATCATAATCATAATAATAATAGTATTATAATAGTATAATAAAGGTTTTTTCAACCTTAGTCATAAATTATGTATTAAAGAACTGACATTGATGATGTATTTTAGATAAATTTCATGCACTTTATACAGATTGTCACATGTCGGTTTATTGTGTTATCATCTCTCAGATAAAAGTCACACCATGAATACTAATATTGCTGTAAATAATGAAAAGTAATGTAAATTATTACAAATACAATTGTGCCTCTTTCTCTATTTTATGTTAACCTGAAGGGAATTTGAGTTGGTTTATGGAATGAAAAATATATACATGGGATATATATGTGTATATCAAGTTGATGTTTTCAACAGCTTTTTCAAATCTATCCTTAGCTTCAAGTTGGTATGCCTGTTTCTAACTATTTATTGGTAGAAATGCTAGTATCTCTCTATACCTTTGCTTTTAGGCATGTTGTCTCCTCATGGATCTACCACTTCTGATCCTGAAGAAAAACTAGAAGAGCTACATATGAATCTCAAGAAACAAGTTACTTGCTCAATTTGTCTCGATACCTACACTGAACCTAAAATTCTATCATGTCATCATACATTTTGCTGTGAGTGTTTAGAGAGACATGCAATAGTGAACCAGAGACAAGGGAAATTCCGATGCCCTGAGTGTCAAGTAGAAATCAATTTACCGGAAGGAAATCGCTTCGACTGTTTGCCTAACAGCTTTTTGCACAAAAGTCTGTTAAGTGTCCTTCAAGCAGAAAGTCGTGAAGGTGAATTGTTGAGTAATTAAATCTTTTGTACAAAACTAAATGGAACAAACAAAATGAAGTGCTAATTGAATGGTTAAATGATGGAAAATCAGAAATCAACTCATTTATTTGTACTTTTCCCCTTAGGTACTTCACCCTCCAATGTACCGTTCACTGCTGGTCACAAAAAAAAATGGGAAGTAAGACACAGCACTGGAAAATTTCAGGAAAAGGAAGGTGAGTGAAAAGATATCCTGAAGCTAAGGATTAGTCAAAATTAAAATTTTTAGGTAATGAATAGAATGCCCTTCAATTCTTTTAGCAGTTATGTCAGTTGTTACTTTTCCAAGTACAGTCAACTGCTGTTACTTTGGACACTTAGTGTCCATAATAGTGAGAGTCTGTAATAATGGGGTATGAGAGAAATAAAAAAATGTTTTCTACCTAAACATATGAAATAATATGTAACCACACAAACATAAAGTTTCTAACATGGCCTCATGAACTGCAAAAAGATCTGGCTGCAAGCAGGAAATTCTCATGTTCGCACCTAATTGAAGAATGGTTTCTTCATTTTCCTTTATCATAATGTTGTTCTAGATTATGTGAGTCAGGATTTTGGAGGAAGTGTTTCAGTGTCTGCTATAGCAAGAGAAAAAACAAGTGAAATGTCATACTGGGGGGCTGGAAAGTGTCTGCATTTCTGTAATAGCAAGAGTCTGTAATAAAGGGAGTTTATTTCAGTCATTTCTTTATGTGTTTCCCCAGGGACTGGCTCTTGTCCATAATAGACAACTTTGATGTCTGTAATAGCAATTTGTCTGCAGGGCAAGATTCAACTGTAGATTAATCCAAATTTGGCTTTGTCTCATTCTCTACTTTAGCTAAAGGTGGTAATGAGTTGGCATGTGGTAAAAACACATAATAGTTGTTTTCAACAATAATCATTGCTGTTATGATGAAGAACTAACACTGATTTACTTTAACATGACTATAATTTGCTGTTTGCGCAGGTGTAACTGTTGTTATCTTTTCTGTGTAAAGTAAGAGACTGAATTTTGAAAAGCTCTGTATACATTTGCTCCCAGGTTCTTCATCTCCCCCTCCTCTCTCCACCACTGATCTTGAAGAAAAACTAGCAAAAGTATGTGAGGAAATTAAGATGCTGAGAATGGAAGGTGAGTAGAAAAATTCATGTTATGAATTTTAGGGAGAAACTGATCCAAGAATGCTAATAACTGTCCTGTCTTAAGTTTAAAAATGAGCTAAAATATCAAAAAAGTAAAAACCAAACATTTTTGACATTAGGTCATCATCAGGGTGATGATGACCTAGTGTAGAAAATGTTTGGTTTTTACTTTTGTAAATATTTTAGCCATGTAACTAGCCATTAAATGTTTTCATATTTTCCCAATAATTACTCTCAAGAGAAGTTATTCCCTATCTGAGATATTAACCTTTTCTGTCCTTACTTTCATCCAAGAATACTGTTAAATACTCTCAGCTTTTATTCTTAGTTTTATTAAGGAACATATTTTCAATTCAGTTTTGCCTCTAAACAATACTAGCAAGGTCAGTATTAGTAATTTTACTACCTGTGACTTCAGTCAAAGGTAGTATTAAATTGGCTGAACATGTGACATTGAAATATTACTTATGGATAGGTTATTTCATGATGATATTATGGAAAACTTGCACCATTGTTCTTTCACTTGACCTTGATACATGTTAGTATGCTTAAACTTTTCATATCAGGTGAGACACCAATTGTTAAATGTAGTTCTGAATACACATTTAGACAGAAAATAATTGTAGTAGAGTAGTAAAACCATATTGCTGTTTACTTCTTCTCTCAGGTAGTTCACCTCCCCCTGTTTCCACTGTTGAAGTAGAACTAGAGGAACTACTTGAGAAACTTCAGAAAGGGAGGATGGAAGGTAAATGCACATCTAGACAGAAAATAATTGTAGTAGAATGCTTTGAAGAGAGGATGTCAGCATCCATCGAACAAATTTAAATATTGTGGCAAGTCGCCCAAAATTCGTTTTCTCACCTACTTTCATATTTTGTAGCCCAACATGTCCAAATAATTGTGGTGTAGTTTTTTGGTGAAAATATATTTTAGTTTTCGAGAAATAATTTTTGTCGTTCGACCACTCAAATATGCAAATTTTCGTCGTGAATATTACCCGAGTTGTGTGACCTCATGTAACGAATTTACTAGACCTCCGGTATTTCTGTCAACATAATCCTTTGTTTTATCATCTAAACTTAATCCCCTGTCATTATTGAAGCTGGCAAAGAAATATTTATTTTTTGGTGAATATTTTTGTCCGACATACTTTTTCTATGTCGAAAAGTAGCATCAAAACAAAGATAGTTTTAACAATGACCGAAATGACAGAATCTACTGGGCTTCTAGCTTTTAAAAGACAAAAGGATGGTCATAAAGTTACTGTAAAAATTTCCTTGTGTACTTGTGTCGTTCTATCGTGAGACGAACTCAAAGTCCGGAAAAATTTACTTGCTAGCGACTATGAAATATACATCTTGTGCCTATTTGTCGCCACCGTTTACTAGCATAAATCACTACAATTTGTAAAAAAATCTAGCATAATACTCTTACCTCATTTATTTACGATTTTATGAGCTGGTTTGATGATCAAGTTATGCTCTACGATTTTATGAGCTGGTTTGATGATCAAGTTATGCTCTACCATATTTTAGCCAGATTTAATTTGCAGTTTATAAAACTTCTCCATATTATTATATCAGTTGCATGACAAGCGTGACACATAAATTCAAAGATGAATCAACCTCCGAATTACCAAGAGATGGGTTTTTTCCCTCTTTGCATATCTTTAAAAACCTTCCAAGAATTACTGTATTCAGAAAACTAAAATGTCCAGATCCATCAATGATTCCTTTGCCGGCGGAAGTCAAAGAATGTTCACAAAAGTCAATTCGATTGACAAGCTACATACTGATTTAGCTAATTAATCTGTTGTAAAAGCGTTTCATCTTACATGCTAACAATGAGATTTGCTGACAGAACTTTTTTCTCTTCACCGAAAATCACATCAAAATTTGTCCTTGCTAAATTTCAAGTGTGCTGCACGTATCAGCACCCCCCGAGGAACCCCTATACATAAGAGGGCGAGGATGCGCGCCGGGAATTTCGAAAATGATCCCTATAAAACCTGAGTCTTATCCGTGTGGGAGTGGCAACAACTGATGTCTACCTCTAAAAAGTACCAATTTAAACCAAAAAAAAATGGAAAAATCCTAAAAATAAAAACTCCTTTATCGATATGCTCCAGAGGCTCAAGTCAGATCATTAAAATCGTCCTAGTAATGCTTATTTCAGGTATTTTATTGAGCGAAAAACATCCTAAATGGTACCAGCTAGGTCTCTGGTAGTCCACCAAAAGTTTGAGACATCGTAAAAGGTACCAGATCACTGATTTTGACCCCTGAAAGGTACGACAAGCATCCTCACTCATATCCGATCGCCTGATGACTCGTTGCGAACAATTTTATTCTGCTATCATGTGGCGACCGGGATGAACTTGTTCTTGAACAAAACTCCTTCCGATATTATGTAAAAGGCCCCTAAGAGTTTTTATTCCCAGAGCATCACGCTTTGCTCTCCCGCCAGAACACTATAAATTTCAATATGCGCTGCTACTGAAACAACGATTACCGTATTTCTTCACCTATAAGCCGAGCGATTTTTTTTTTCTTAGTGCGTGTTGAAAACTAACTGGTCTCTTGTGATAAGCTTATTCTGGTTCTATAAACTTTCAAATTTTGCTACATGTGCAAAATTACAGATATTGTTTCTAGTGTGACAGAAAATACACTAAGTGAAACTTCATAACAATAGCAAGAGTCTGTTACAAAGGGAGTTTATTTCAGTCATTTCTTTATGCATTTCCCCAGGAACTTACTCTTGTCCGCAGCGGCGAGATGTCTGTAACAGTGAGGTGTTTGTAGGGCAAGAGTCAACCACAGATTAATCTAAATTTGGCATTGTCTCATTCTCTACTTTAGTTAAAGATGGTGCTGAGTCAGCATGTGGTAAAAATACATAATGGTTGCTTTCAGCAATGATCATAGTGTCATAATGGAGAACTAACACTATTTTACTTTAACATGAGTATTAATAATTTGCTGTTCACACAGGTATAACCGTTGTTATCATTTCTGTGTAAAGTAAGAGACTGAATTTTGAAAAGCTCTGTATACCTTTGCTCCCAGGTTCTTCACCTCCCCCTCTTCTCTCCACCACTGATCTTGAAGAAAAGCTAGGAAAAGTATGTAAGGAAATTAAGATGCTGAGAATGGAAGGTGAATGGAAAAATTCATAGCTTATCATTTTTAGGGAGATGCTGATCCTAGAATGCTAATAGCTGTCGTTAAAAGTTTAGGTTTAAAAATGAGCTAGAATATTGAAAAGTAAAAACCAAACATTTTTGACATGAGGTCATTGTCAGGGTGATGATGACCTAGTGTCAAAAATGTTTGGGTTTTTACTTTTGTAAATATTTTAGCCTTGTAAATAGCTCAGTGCCACTAAAATTAATGTTTCACATTTTTTCTACTAAGCACTTTTAAGAGAGACTATTCCCTACATAAGATATTCACCTTTTTCTGTCCTTACTTTTATTCAGTTTTGCCTCTTGATGTACAACTTTAGTCAAAGGTAGTATTAAATTGGCTGTGGCATGTGATAATGAAATAATAGTTATAGATAGGTTATTTCACAATGATATAATGGAAAACTTGCATCATTGTTCTTTCACTTGACCTCAATACATGTTATAATACTTTAACATTTTTATATCAGGTAAGAAACTGAGTGTTAAATGTATTTCTTTGTTCTCAGGTAGTTTTCCTGTCCTTAAATTTTCATCCATTGATCTTGAGAAAAAGTTAGCAGAACTACGCAAAGAGCTTAAGAGGCTCAGAATGGAAGGTGAATTTAAAGTGTTTATTGATTCATTATCAGAGAGAAATAAATCCAAGAATGCTATTAAAGGCTTTAACCCTTGTATCGAATTATCACTTTTCAAGGAAAATTATTCCTTATTTAAAAGAACCTGTTATCTGATTTTATTACTATTGATGAATGCTTTCATTCCTTATTCAAATTATACATTTTAAAGGGAAGCTGTTCGTTAGAAAGGATGAATCCTCTTCCTTTATAGTTATTAAGTGAGGTTGCTGTCCTATACTTTCAGGTATTATGTAAGTGTCAGCTTTCATATGAAATTTTTCTTAATTAATTTTTTCCTTATTCTTTGCTGTGGTGAAAGGGAGTATTAAGTTGGCTGTGGCTTATTATTATGAAACAATTTTTCTAAATGGTTGATTTCAACAATAACCATAAGAGATTAATCAAAAAACTGACACTATAATTGTGCTATCACATGACCCCAACACAATGTACAGTGCTGGTTAAATGCCTGTTTTTAACCATTTATGCAAGGTAAGGCACTGATCGCCAAATACAGTGTATCTCTCTTTTTACCTTTCCTTTCAGGTACTTTGCCTCCCCCTGAACTCTTTATTTCTGATCTTGAAGAAGAACTGAAACAAATACGTACAGAACTTGAGAGACAAGGATTGGAAGGTGAGTGAAACATGCGTATTGGCTCCGTTGAACAGGGCAAAAGAAATATGGAAAGTGATAAGGAACAAGCTGAAAGGTGAAACACTTTCTTTTAGTTTTTTTATAAGACTCCTAATTATATTATTTTCTCTTAAATATGTAAGCCCTGCATGCAACTTGCAAAACATCTGCGCTGCTCATTACATGTTGAAGCATTGAATAATGCGTATTTACTCTTTATTTAAGATACTCCCTCCTCATATGATGCTATCAACCAAGTACGGCGTTTAAAAGAAGAACTAGAGGAACTACTCAAGAAACTTCAGAAAGGAAGGATGGAAGGTGAATATTAATAATGCAATACACACATACACACACACACACACACACACACGCACGCACACACGCACACGCACACGCACACACACATACACACACATACACACACGCACACACACAGGCACACACACATATATATGTATAGAATTGCTAAGTCAGTAAACCTTAGTACATGTAGGAGGGTCTCAATGTAGTTAACCATTAAACGTAAAATGGCAAAAAAAAATAACCGTTAGGCATAAAAATCGACAAATTTCAACTGTCAGTCGTCAAAATGGTCAACTGAAAAAAATTTTCATTTAACTTCTTATCAGATTTTTTCAAGATTTTCATTGGAGGGGCTATGAAAGAAAAAGTTTTTAGTTTTTACACGTTGGGTGTTTTTAAAAATAGTTTGAGGTATGTTTATGGTTCAAAATGTTTGTCCTCTTGTAAATCTGATTTTAGATGCTTTATCCTCTGAATTACACTCCACAAGTTCAACCACTGAAAGTCCACAAAAAAAAGAACAATGGGAAAAAAGTGAACAGAAGACAAAGATTGTGGAGACAGGGAAATTGGAAGGTGAAAAGGGAGTTCTTAAGTTAAATGGAAAACTGTTGTGAACAGTAATAACGATTATGTGATAAATGTTTGAAGAATTATCTCAGTGCAATGATGTGGCATCAATTAATTAATATAATTGTACACAGTTCCAGTTATGAGAACCAAACATCTGAAGAGAGGCTGTGAATGCTAATCTCTCTCTGCATTTTTTACCTTTACACTGTATGTGGAAATATAGAAACCTTAATGTAAAAGACTAAAGGCAGGTACATATAGAAACACAGCTAGATTGCATGGTTTATTTCTATAAATGTTTTGGTATGGTTAAACTAGCAGTTATAGTTCCCTTTTTCCTGCTTTCTTCCATCCTTGTAGATACATGCCGTGAAATGATACATGTCTTGAAATAATTAAAAACAATGCATGACTCATTCAACATGGTGTACCATAGGATTAACAGAGGTGTAGAGGGGGTCCAGGTTTTGACCAAGATATTCAACCAATTGTTTCATGACAAAGCTCATGCTGTCTATGTATACAGTGATAATCTGCAACTAGAAGTGATTTGTTTTTCAAGAAATTTCCTATTATATTTTCCTTTCTGTCTGGTTGTATTCATCTTTGGCTCCAAATATAAATAAAATAAAACAAACTAAAATAAAAATTGGCAAGATTTTAGTTGAAAGAGCTATAAAAGGAAATGTTACCTGTATTTGTGTGTGGGGTTTTCATAAAAATGATTTGAGGTGTGTTGTATGGTTTTGAATGTCAGTATTTAGTGGTTGCCTCATTATTTGTTTTCTTTTAAATCTGATTTTAGGCGCTTCATCATCTAAATTCCACTCCATAAGTTCAACCAGTGAAAGTCCACAAAATCAAGAAGAGCTGGAAAAATGGAAACAGAAGACAAAGATTGTTGAGACAGAGAAACTGAAAGGTGAAAACAAAATTAAAAGATGTATTAAGTTATTATGGAAAGTTTTTGTGAACAGTAGTAACAATTTGTTATTTGACAAAACTTTGAAGAATGATCTCAATGCAGTAATGTGGCATTGGTATTATTTTAAGAGTACAACTTATGGGGAACAACTTACAGCGTATCTGCAGAGAGGCTGTGAATGCTAATCTCTCCCTGTACTTTTTGTTCTTAGATACTTCACCCCTCACTGTAATACCCACCACTGGTCATGGAAAAGAACTTGTAGGAAAAGCACAGGGAAGGAAAGGTGAACAGGAAGCTTAGTTTGAATTAATATCTGTAGTAAATATGTTCAGTGTGTTCAGTTATTATGTCAAGTGTAAAGAAGCGTGCTTTTGGGATTAAACATTTAAGGTTGTAAGGGTCTTTAGGGTAAAACTAAACTGACAATTATTTTAAATACTATCAGTTCTTCATTAAAAAGATTTAAATTTGAAAGAAATTAAAACCCAATTTAGGTTTCCCTAAATTTTGCATCTAGGATAAATTTCATGCACTTTATAGAGATGGTCACATGACTTGTTGGTTTGCCATGTTATCATCTTTCAAATGAAAGTAACACCTTGAATGCTAATATTGCTGTAAATAATGTAAAATACATGAAATTGTAAATTATTCCAGATATGATTGTGCCTCATTCTCTACTTATGTTAAAGGAAATTTGAGTTGGTTTGTGGAATTAAAACAATATTCTGTATGTGTGTATTTCAAATAGGTGTTTTTAACAGCTTTTTAAAATCTATCCTTATAGCTACAAGTTGGTATGCGGGAAAAAAAAATGCGAGCTCCGCTTTTAGGCTTGCCTAAATATATATATTATAAGGTCACACGTGAATGAGTCAGGAATGCGATATATGCTGCACAACATCGATGTATGACATCCAAAATCGATGTATTCCAGGTGAAATTGATTTATTTTATTTTAAGACTTGTATTCTAACGCATAACAATAACGTAATTGAACAAAACATTAATGTATCCATGTTCGATATTTTGTCCGTAAAAGAACCTCATACCTGATATGTGATATGTTATCTTAACACTCTACCAAAAAGAAATTTGATCAGGGCGCTACAGTCTGAAAAACTATCTCTATTACCGTAAAAATATTTTCTAAGGCTATCCTTTACTTTGCTTATCAGTTACGTCCTGGATAGTAACAACCTTGTTCGAAGCCACTATCGATTTGCTAGTCAACAAAGACAGAGATAAGGCCGCGGAAATTCTGAAAGACGGCGATGTAACAGGGCAAAGATTCCACTCCTTGATCGTCCGTGAAATAGACGACATCAAGTCAAAGTTGGACGTGTTATCGAGAAACGATTTGCAAACGAGTTTCAGTTTCTTTGAGGAAGGAATCGCGCTTTTGTATGAAGTGTTTGACATAGTAGAATCTAGAAACGAGCTTGGTGCGGCAACAACACAAGTAGCTCGCGATGACACATTTTCTCTCGTTGAAGGAATCAGAAAGTTAGAGCTTACTGGCTTGGACGAGTCTGCTGCAAGAAAGTTTTCCGCTGCAAAGAAAAGATTCAAAGATGCTCGAAGGGAAGCAACGAGGGCCTTTAAAAACGAATGCCTCAAAACATCTGACCGCATTCTGGCCATGAAGTGTCGAGTAATGGCAACGATATTGGAAACAGTGGACAATCCCTCTGATGCACTGGCACCATGTGGAGTGTGTGTAAAGGAACTTAACAGTCTGTCAGCAGTACAGAATAGCTTTGACGTTCAGTTCAAGACAGGCATTCAGAAAGTGAGGGGTTTATTTGGTAAAGAGGAAAGAAGGGAAATAATTTTCAATGTTTGTCATGTGAATCGCGTGATCTTTGATATCGCGCTCGCATTGGGGAGACTTGACTTCAACCTGAGTGTTGATATTGGAGAAAATAAAGTTATTCCATTGTGTGACGCGAGAGTAAAAGACTTGTTAGACAGACATGGTAAAGAGTATTGTTGTGTTCCACCAAAGCCATTTGGTCAGGGGGGTAAAGAGGAACACAAGCTGAAGCACCCGATGGCTATCGCTACAAACTCCAGCGGAGAATTTATTATTACAGACTTGCATCACGTGAAGGTGTTTGACAACAGCGGCAATTTTGTGAAACAATCGAGTCTCTCTACCGATGAAGCAAATCGAACATTTGCTTTTGAAGTCGCCACAGACATGAGTGACAACATCTTCGTGCTGATTGAACTGGAGAAGCCTCGGAGTGAGTTATCTTATTGGGTTTATAAACTTACTAAAACCGCTGACCTGCATCACGCATTTCGTCTGAGGGGAGAAGGCAAGTATAGAGGACTGTCAGTCAGTGATAAAGGGAAAGTGGTGACCTTGCGGGGAGCGAATACAGTGGAGGAATATGACACTGATGGAGAGTTTGTTCGTAGTTTTGGACTAGGAATAATAAGTTCAGCGCGGGATATTATTGTTGCTAATGACGGCCTTGTTATGGTACTAGGTGACTACTATGTTCACATATTCAGTGAATCCGGCGACTATCTTGACAAGTTCAAACTGCAACAACGTGACTGTGATTACACAAGCATTACATTTCACCGAGCAGGTGAACAAGTCGTCGCCGCCGGTATTCTTGCAAGAAACCTCCTGCAGGTTGAAATATACAGTAAAGATGGTGAGTTTGTGTACTGTGCAGAAATGGCAATTGATGGTTGGTTCCGTAATTTGAGAAAGATTACGTTGACAACCAAGGGACGCATTGCTTGTGTTGCAGATGGTAAGGTATTAATTTTTTGAAGAGGGTGGTAAAGGGGAGGTCCAAAAAGTAGAAAAATTTGTTAAACAACTTTAAGATTCACGTTTCTCTAAAAGAAAAAAATTCACAGTTCACATGGTCTTAATTTCATATTGTTACAATTCATGAAAAGTAAAAAGTCACTTGTTTAATCCTGCATCATCCAAAAGCCTCTCTTTGAACTGCTGGTTTTGATGGTTTCTTGTTTTTCTAAATTGTTCAGTTATCATTTTTGGCTGAATTCATTCTTAAGAGGTAGTTTATTTCCATATTTCTTTCTTGACATTAAATTTCCAAAGTGTACCCAGCTTTTATCAAGATTTTTGAAAGATTATATGAAGTGTTAGTTTTGATTGTGATGACTTTAATGACAGAACATTTAGTTTCCTTCTTAGTATGTAAACGAACAGTCACATGTATTTGAAACATTTTACTTACATGTTAATATTGCATATTAGGGTTCCTTTTTGGAGGGAGGGTTGGGAAGGATTTGCAGAACCTTGGAATGACAATGATTTTATTTCCTGATTAAACTCTTGGCTAGGTTGGTTGGTTTTGACTTTGCCTCTCGATGCATTACAAGTTTGTTATTGTTTCATGTTTTATTATAGGCTGTTTAGCCTAATTCTTTATACATTGAAATTATTTTATTTTCAAATAGTGAAAGTTTTAGCCAAAATTTAATGCATTTTATTGCAAATTGTAGTCAGAAATTTCTATAAAAATTCTTGTGTAGTTACATAAAAATTGTTTGATTTGTAAAATAGCAAAACTTTGCTTGAGAGGGTTTTTGGTCAGGTATCAAGTTGAAGATAAATATCTAGCCAATACAAGCTTGTTCACTTAATTCATAGGGAAACCCTTTCATAGTTTTATTTCATGCAATGGAGTTATTGAAAGGAATGATAGAAAATTGAAAAAGTATGGTTTTAGCAGAGACAATTTAAAAAACCAGTTCAGTAAATGTGGCCTGTCATTCCTGTTTATTCCTTTGGTAATGTATTAAAACAATTTTTACTCAAATCCTAAGATTTTTTCCCTGCCATTTTCAGGATGTTGATTAGTCATTGCACAATAGAGAATTATCTAGTTACTGTGCATGTGCATAATTTCCAAGTCAAATTTCAATTTTCTGAGCTATTTTTTCTTTTGCTTATGAAGTTTATTCTCCTGCTACTAATAGAACATCTTTCAAGAAGACTCTTCATTTTGCCTCTAGCAGCACGTATTTTGAGATGTGTGATACTGTAAGACTGTGATTATCATTCACTTACCAGGTGATCAATGTCACAAGTAAACAAGTTACTTTGTTAGTATTATTAGTAGTCTGATTAGTATACTTATATTATGGAAAATGCTGAACAACTTTTAACCCTTTAAATCCCACAATCTGATAATAACTTCTCCTCTCTTGCCACCACACATTACCTTGTAAATAAGTTAGGAGAATTTGGTGTTAGATCGAGATAACAAATTCTACCTGATAAGTTTGAGTGTAATCTCATGACCTGTTTTCTGGCAGATAATGTTTAGATATTAAAGGGAGAAGTTACGTGTTAATCTCTTTGGGAGTGAAAGGGTTAACAGAAATGTTTTGGATTTTCAGCGCAGCTTAATATGCTCACTTCAATTATTGAACAATTTCATTTGCAGGCAATATTACTTTCAATTGATTAATAGAGCTTATTAAACCTACATTGTGGCAACTTAATACCCATTGTGGTTTAGTTAAATTGAAATTCCTAAAGATTGGATTTGTTTATCATGATGTCTTTAGTATTCCTTACAAAACATTATTTTTGTATACAGTATAGCGATTGTATTGTTGTGCATTACAATTTTCCTAATGTGTTATTTGTATCAAGAGCTCTAAGCTGATTCAGCAGGTCTAATTAGGAGAATTATTGACTGAGTCACTATTTTTATTACTAACAATGCTTTAAAACTGTAAAGTAATTTAGAGGGGGTGAATTGGTTTGCAGATATTTGGATTTAGGTTTTATAACTCACTCTGCCAATTTTATGCAATATTTTGTAGATTTGAAACACTTGACTTGAATTCTAGACTCAATGCATTTGATAATGTGGAGTGTAGATAGGAGATAAGTCAGTAACGTAAATTATCAAAAGGAGTCATGAATAATTTATTTTACTTTTATTATTCAGTAGAACAATGCTTGAAAACTACAGACTATAATGTAGAGGGGGTGGATAGGTTTGCAGATATTTGGGTGTAAGAACTCATGTGCTGCAGATTTTTTCAGAACACTGTATTGATGGTCATTCCAACAGATTTTAAAGATAACAGTTGATCATGAATCACCTGTTTGTCAGCATGGATTCCAGATTCAATTTGTTTTTTAGTGTGGATTGATAAATGATATATTGTTGGTCTCCAGTTAACTGAAGTCTGTTCATTGATCTAATTTTGTTGACTTAATTTTTTCAGTTTTCGGTGTACAGACAAACTTGTAAAAGACATTTTCAAATTATAGACCCTGACAGCAGGTTAGTTCAGTAATTAGCCATAAGGCTACTTTTTCAAATACCAAAATAGAAAGAAAACTTAAGATGAAATTTCTTCACTATAGAAGAAAAGAAAGAGACACAACTACATTGCACACTTCTGGAAGTTTCACAGATCTGACTTACATTTTTACTTAAAAATTAGATAAACAGGTTAGGTAAGAAATATGGCAGAATTTTGGGGTTGCATATACCTATCTACCCCCTTTCCCTCCTCTTAGTGAAGTTTAACCCTTTAACTCCCATGAGTGATCAGGACAGAATTTCTCCTTACAGTATCAATACAATATCAACCAGATAAGAGGAGAGAATAAAGAAATATATCAATTTGGGAATAATGGTAGTGGATCCAATACTAAATTCTCAGAATTAACATTGTAAGAACTATATGTTTGACAGTAAGGAGAATTACAAATTTGGTCTGGGGAGATAAAGGGTTAAGTATGTTTTGTATTAAAGTGTTAAAATGTAAAACCAAATTTTGAAATAAATATTGCACATGTGTGATTTTGATTAAGTTCTGGTTGTGCTTTTTTTTTGTCCTGATTTTATGTTTTACTTTTATTCATGCATTTGTGGACAATTTTATCTTCAGTGATGGATAGTAATAAGTAAGGACAATAGAACTGCAAAAAAGTAGGTGTACCAAAACTTGTGGGTCAGGCTTTCCCCCTAACAACTGTCACTGCTGTTTTTTTATTTTACCAACTCAGTAAAAATGTTTGCAACAACCAAATAGGCCTGAAAATACACTGGTTCCATTTGGAGATTAACTATGATACTGGAATCAAGCACCCTGCTTGAAAAAACATTGGCCTATGGTGCTGTATCATGGACAAATATATCAATCTCACAATGGGATTTTTTTTGTCTCTCAAATAATATTTGACTACATTTTTGACTATGGCTGGTATGATTTGCCATTGGATGTGCTAATAAAACAAACACACTCCAAACTTTTGTTTTATAGTGCACTATAAGATCTGCAAAAGGCCAAGTTGAATATTAAGGTAACATCCTTTGTGTTCAGAGACTTAATTAACATAAAGGAAAGCTTAGCCTTCAATGTTGAAGGTTAACATTTTCAGCTGAGTTTATCTTTGTCACCCTTAACACTTTAACTCCCAAGACCTGATTGTAAATTCTCCCCTCTAGCTGCTACACATTTCCTTGTAAATTAGTTTTTGAGAACTTGGTGTTGGATCAAGAGAGCAGCTTTTACCTGATAAGTTTGAATATTCTCATTACTTGTCAGCTTAATAATGTGATGGATATTGTAGGGAGAAGTTTCATGTCAATCACTTCTGGGAGTTAAAAAATTAACTTTTCACACTTTGCAACATCTCACTCCCACAACTCCCTGCAGCATGCTGACATCAATTTTTTTTTCATTATTTTTTTACATATGCAGTGTACCTTGCCAAACAGAAGGGAAGCCCATAGTCTACCTAAAGACAATATGCATATTTTCCTCACTGTAGTCTATACATTCCCGATGGTACTGACAAGGAGAATATGCAAAATGATCAACAGCTTCATTAATTAGATATCATTTCCTTTATTCTTATGACCTCACTGTTTAATTTCATCATGATTCTGTTGAGAAAAATCAGATTGATACTGTTGAGGGTTAAAATTTTTGGCTATATTGCTATATTTTCCTCTTCCATAATGTAATTCTAGTATAGCAAACAATTTTTCTAAGCTCTTACTCTATGAAATGGAAAAACAAAAAATTGTCATAATGCTTAACTGTCTAGTAAAGCTCAAATCATTTTGAAAGCTTCAACTTCCATGGACATTTCACTGTCTTTTGTACCCCGAGGGTGGGGAACTTGAACCAGAAGTGTCAAGTGTTTCTAGTGGAACTCCAAATACATGTACAAGAGTTATATCTTTAAATATGGAGGTATTTAAGGTACTAAATAGTTCACTTTCATGAGAGAATGGCTCAACAAAAGGAATGCAAGGTCCAGGTTTTGAAGCTTGGTGAATGTGCAAAGTCATGGTCCCTGATTTTGCCTTCTACAAAGACATTGGATGGGGCATTTTGAACACAACCTTTTCCCTGGTGAGCGGGAATTTGGAAGGGGAGTACAAGTAGTACAAGCATCCATTGGCCACATCGTGAAAAAAAAATCTCATTGTCTATGCAAGTGAGGCTCGGCCTACATTTTCAACAGTTATAGCAGGTTGTTATGGATAAAGAAAACACTTCAAAGTAACCTGTATAAATTAATGTGGAGTCCCTCAGAGAAACAGCTTGTCTTTGTGGTCACATTCCAAATTAAGTGAGTTTATTGACCTTACTGAGTCTGATTCTCTCGTTAGCTTTGTCAACTAAGTCAGAGAGTAGGCAAGATGGGCTTTGGAGAAAATTTCGTGGTGCAGGCCTAACAAGTTTGTAATTTTGGACAATGTCAGTGACGGAGTCGCAAAAAGCGGCAAAATACAGTCAAAACAAAGAAAACATAAACTACTCTCATGAGTTTCATGTGCTACAAAAATATTTGATTTCTTAATTCTTGACTCTTACTCAGTAAAGCGTAATCTTTTTGCTACATAAGAAATCCTTTTTTGATCAAGCTTGTTCGGTCAAGATGTCTAGATATTGACCTCGTTCCCTTGTTTGTTTGTTTGTTTGTTTTTTTCTCGTTCATACGCAAAAGAGTACTCGGCTAATATCCAGCCATCTCGACTGAACAAGCTTGGCCAATGACGCATATATCAGTAACATCTATCAACGAGAAATGTCAATGGAATACATGGGGCATCTTTTCTGTAGTTTCTTTGGTAAGATTTCCGTATACCCCCATACTATTCTACATAAAAGCCGTAGTCACAGAGGTAATCTATGAGCTATTGTTACGCCATTGCCTTCTTTCATCCAATACTGTAAGCATAATTAATTATGGGGCGGTGCGGAAATCTCGCCGGATTTGACTTCGTCGAAGTTGAGAATTGATGGTGATGTTTCTTTTTTCCGACCTTTACTAGTACAACTGGGCCCTGGTCCGTTTCTTTTACTAGCGGCAGACAACAAAAATGTCAACGAAGAAACCCTCGATGGAAAAAATACAACTCATGTTACATTCATGGTTGCATTTCAGAGACGGCCAAATATATGGACTAGAACCACCCCCGGTCTAACTGGCAAACCACAATGACGGAGAAACTATCCTTGCAAGCAGGGGGAAAGATTTACGAGCTAAAAGAGTGCTCTGCATTTGGGAGATGACCTCAAGTCACTTTTTGTACTCGTCAGGTTAAACAACAGTGGTGGAATTAAAGAAGAAAATGAGCTGTTTGAGTCAGCACGTTGCGCTGATGAAGTATGAAAAGTCATGAGAATGCATCCCTCAGGTCTAATAGAATCACTGTCTCGGGAAGTAATCGCGAGTCAGTCAGTTCATGGATGGAGTGCATTCAACGCATTGCTTTATCTAGAGTCACCAGAAATTAGCGTGGTTGGCTTCTAGCTGCCCCCTAACAGATGGCTCCTCAACGGAGTTCAGTTCAGGGTTTCTCAAAGATTTTTCTTGTCACGTGATAAGTCACGTGACATTGCTATATGGTGAAATTAAACTACGAGCAAATTATTTTGAGTTAACTGGGTATTTGGACCGCTAATGTTGATAAGGGTGTAAAAAAAAAAAATGAGGAAAAAAATGTCGTGTACTCTACAACCTCGTTTTCACGCCGACGAAGGGATGACGTAGCAAAAACCCCTCCTTTCTCTCGGATCGTATACCATTTTTCGACTTTACGGCGTGACGAGCCTTACTCAGGAGGTATTGTTCTGATAAAATCCACTGTCAAACCTTTTCTAGCTCGTGGGTTGAACGAAACCCCGATTTTCCGGTCTCTGCTACCTGACTATTA